CTTGTAAATATTCCAAGCATCTTGATTCGTTTTCAATTATTTCTTTCACTTGGTACAAGGGTGGCATTGGTGTTATTAGACTCGCCATTTTAGAGATCAAATGATACTTGTTTATTATTAAATGTTTTGTTGATTTTGAATCCAGATGGTGGTTCTTTTATAGGTTTCATTTCTTTAATGATTTCTGCTTTTGGTTTAATTATTTCTTGGTTCTCGATTGGTCCCATATGTCTGCTAAGCCAATCTGATACATTATTCGTTGATCCTTTGATATATTGTATTTCCTTGATGTTGTAATTTCCATCTATTTCTAACTTCCAAGATTCCATAGTTTGATTTCTTGGCATTTTTCCTGCTTTAGCAATTCCTGTATTATCTGTTCGTATAATGATTGGTTTATTCCCAATGTAATGTCTCCAATTCTTTAAATAGAAGTATATCGCGTAGAGTTCTTTTTGTGTGGATCCCCATAATCTTTGACTTTGTGTAAGGGAGTGTGATCCAAATTCTATTACTTCTTCTTCTGATTTGGTAATTTCTTTGTCTTCTTTAGTTCCGTTTTCACGCGCTTCTTTGGTTTTGTAATGTGCCAATTCAGGATTAATTTGTTTCAGTACCGCGCCTATTCCATTATCTGAGGCGTCTGTTTCTAAGATTAATTGATGTCCTTTCTTTGGATAGGTTAAGGCTATTGCATTATATACTTTGTCTTTGAGTTCTTCGAATGCTTTTTGACATTCATCAGTCCAAATAAACTTCTTATTCTTTTTTAATAGATCGTATATTGGTGCAGCTATTATAGCAAAGTTCTTAATAAATCTTCTAAAGTAGTTCATGAATCCTGTAAATTTTCTAATTCCAGGAACATCTGTAGGTGGTTTAAGCTTCTTGACTTCTTTAATTTTAACTTGATTCGGTGATATTTTCCCATATGAAACTTTGTGATTTAAGATCATTATTTCTTCTTTAATAAATTCACACTTTTCTGCTTTGAGTGTCATTGCCCCCTTTTTTATGCGTTCAAACACCGTTTGAATATGTTTGATATGGTCTTTAATAGTGTCTGATGCAATTGTTAAATCATCCATATACACATATACAAATGGATAGTCTCTAAACAATTCATACATATATCGCATCATATATGCAGGTGCCGTTTTAATTCCCATAGGGCATTTATTAAACTCGTATTTTCCTTTGCCAGGAAAAAACACTGCAGTTTTATGTTGATCAGTTTTTCTAAGAGGAAACTGATAAAAAGCACTTTTAAAATCACAGGTTGAAAAAATTTTATGGCTTGCGAGCTTTTGTAGCAAGACATTGATATTAGGTATTTCATAGGGATCGTCCTTTAGGTATTTGTTTAGGTTTGAGTAATCTACTGCGGCTCTATAGCTTCCGTCAGGTTTTGGTACTATTACTAAGGGTGACATCCAGGTTGATTTGGATGGTTCAATATGTCCGCTTTCTCTAAGTTCTTTGTATAATTTGTCTGCTTGTTCTATCTGGTCTTCAGAGTATTGTCTGATTTTGTTAGCTTTTACTTTAAAAGGTATATCTTTTTCAGGTGTTGTAAGATCTAATGTTATTTCTTCGAACATTTCCTTGTTAAAGGATGTTCCTTTTTCTATTTTTCTTCTGAATATTTGGATGTACTTTTCAAATATTGGTTTCATTACATGTTTATAATTTTCATGAGTGTTATTTATTAAGATTTTTAGTCTTTCTTCTTCTGGAATTTCTTTTTTGTCGATTTCCATTTCATATTTATGGAAATTGAATATTTCTTTTACAATTTTTATATTTCCAATGTGTTGTTTTTCATGTATTTTCTTTGCTTTATTTGTATAGTTGATTGCCCATATCTGGCGATCATTAACTATTCCAGGTTGTATACATATTCCTTCTTTGGCAATATGTATTGGTGTCGTTACTAAATAGTTTCCTTTTTTGTTTGTTTTTATTGGTGTCCAAGTGTATGGTTTTAATATACATTCCTTTTTTGTTTTTAATGGTGTTCCTGTTCCTAATGTTGGTATTATATATCTTCTAACCTCATTGGGTATGTGTCCTAATTCTTCGTGTATGTTTATTTTAGTTCTTTTCTTCATTTTTATTGGTTCATTTTTAACTTCTTTAATTTCTATATTAAATAGTTCATTATTATCATTGTGATGACTAAAACTGTCATTGCTACTATAATATCCAAAAGTGTTTTGGTAATCATCTTTTGGTATTGCCGGTGTACTTGGTCTTCCTGATGTAGGTCTCATAAATGGTGATTGTGAGCCTTCATCTATTCCAATTTCTAGTCCTTCTTGATTATATGGTTGTTCTTTATATTGTTCATTTATTTTATTTAATTCTTCTTGTCGTTTTTGTTCTTTTTGTACTTGCATTTGTTCATATTCTTCTCTAAGTTTTTGATCATCTCTTTCTTTAGCTTGTTGCCAGGTTTCCTTATTTCTGTTTTTATTTGTTCTCCTTTCAGTGGATATTTTTCTTCTTCTAACGAAGTCTGAGTTGTTTTGTTCGCTTTCTATGGTTTCCATTGCTTGTTTCTTTATTACGTTTTCTTTTAGGTTATTATCACTTTTCTTTCTTTTTCCGAAAACATAATTATATCCTTTTGAAAATATATTGCCGGTTTCTTGAATTTCTTGTTCACTTCCTTGATCTTGTTGGTTATTATTGTGTATGTTATTATCATCCTCTTCTATTTCTATATCTCCTTGCTTGTGAAGGTTTCCACTGTTGTCTATTTCATATGTTTCTTCATAGTCAGTAGGTACTATGGCTGGTTGATTATTTAGGTGTATGCTGGGTATACTACTAGTACTGGCCATACTACTAATACTTGATTTCTTTGAATGTGAGTGTCTTGTCACTTCATCATTTATCATTAAGGGTTTTAATGAGTCCTTTTTATCCGGTTTATTAATATTTGGTCCGAGATTTGCTTCTTTAAATCTTTGATAATCTGGTCCTAGGCCTGTCTGTTTTCCTTCACTTTTACTAAGGTTTTTCATAAATTTATCATGTTCTCTTTGGATATTTTTATCCTCTAGGTCACTTTCGTTGTCTGAATCTGAGTCTACTGTTTTCTTTATTTCCTCTTCTTTTTGTTTTCTTTCTTTAGTTATTTCTTTTAATTCTTCATCCTCTTTTCTTAGTACTTTGAAAAAGTCTTCATTTGTTTCTATCTTTATAGGTGTTTTCTGTGTTGTTTTTGGGCTTTTCAGGCTTTCTCTCATAAATTCATTATATTTTATTTCTGCTTGGTTTCTAATATCTGCATCTGGGTTTGTTACTGATGTATGGAGTAACTGGTGTTGTATAGCCTGTTTTTCAAATTCTTGCATCCTTTTGTATTTTTCTAATGTTATATTTAATTGTTTTTCTACATCTTTTTGGTATTCTATCTCTTTTCTTCTTATTTCTCTTTTGACAGATTCTTGTGTTATTTCATTCTGTCTATCAGTCCATTGGATTGCATTCCAAAGTTTTTCTCGTTCAGTTCCAGGGTAGTTCCTTACTTCTTCTGGTAATGTAGGTATTTCTTGTATCATTTTCCAATTCTTATGTACATCTTTTCCATCCATTCTTGTTAATTTTAGATATTTTGTTTCTATGTCTGCTATATCTTCCATCAGTCTTTCTAGGTCTGTTACAAGTTCTTTTGAATCATTCTCTTCTTGTATTCTTTTGATTTCTTCTAAATCATTATTCGTTTTATTCCATATATTTGAGAATGATGGTGATGTTGGTGATTTATTTTTCTTTTTGGATGGTTTGATTTGTGGTGAATATTTGTTTCTGACTTCATTAATTTTATGAGTTATTTGTCCTATTTTATCATTATGAATGTTCTTTTTTGCTTCATCTTCTTGTTGATTTTGATATCTTTCTTTTCTTTCTAAGCTTAGGTTTTTCATTGAATTCATTAGATAATCCATTGGATCTATTGGATTTTCTTGGTAGTTATTTATAACTTCCATTGGTAGGTCACTATATTGTATGCCTTTTCTTGGGTCCCATTCGTTTAATTTCTTTATCCTGTCTGACAGTTCTTTTTCTAGTTCTCTATCTGATGATAGTATGTCCATAGCGTAATATCTCAGCGTTTGTACTTCCTTTATTTGTTCTTGTTTATCCCAGTCTTTCTTTCTGGGTGTTTCTAGTATTGCAGCTCCTTTACATTGTTGTACCATGGTTTTAAATATTTCTTGGGGTAATAATCCCGTTAGCAGGTGTTCGTGGATATCATGTCCACTTCCAAAGATTGTTTCTTTAATTTCGTATGTACGGCCGTTTTTGTCTTTAATTTTTCTAGCGCGAACCACATTATTTATGTGGCAGAGTTGGATATCTTTTCCATACTTATCTAAGACTTTTTTATAGTCTTCTGTTGTTCTTCCTGCTCCTGCTACAAAATAATGTTGTGTATCAAAACACAACTTGACTCTATCTATCGTTTTTCCATTTGCAAGGTTTTTGTGATACCGATTTTCTTTGTGAACCTTGGATCTAATTTCTATTAGTTCTTCTATTGTAGCACCATAGCATTTGTTTGCTGCTGAGTTTTCTAATAATATTGTGACGTCAGTGTCTTTTGTTTGTTTTAATATTTCCTGCAGGTTCTGTATTACGTCACTTTTGTTATTATTCTGAGCCGTTCCAATATGAAGTACGTAGTTCCTGGCTCCTATTCTATGTGCTCTTTGCACTTCTTCTATTATTCTGGTTATTCTCCAGTTTAAGTTACCTTGCTTATTATATGTATTACCCGATAAGTCGAGTCCCATTGTTGCATGTATAACTAGCTTCAATTGAGACTGCTTGTTGCCTTCAATAATTTTGATATCATTATCGATATCTGGTATGCCTCTTATCAATGTTATTTGATTTTGTTCAAATTTGTCTTTAAAATCTCCTTTTGCAGGTATATACTGCACAAAGGTTTGTATAATATTGCTTCCGGTTTGGATGACAGCTTCGACTATGTCTTTCCATAGTCCATCACAGGTTATTCCAATTAATTTTTTGCGCCTTTGGTTCCTTTCACACTGTTTATAAAACAGTTGGAGTGCATTTGAATCAATATGTGATATTGTAAATAGGTCATATTTGATTCTCTTTTCATGCTCTTTGCGAGTTATCTCGCTTAGTTCTTTAGGTTCTTTAGGAATGTTTTGTTGATTAGGCACTTTTAGAGTTGTGATATTGTGCCTGTACCTTGTTCTCTTTTCTTTCGAGATTGGATTTAGGCGTTTATTTATCTTACTTCTTTGTTTATCTTCATTTACTTTTCTTGATTTTATATTCTCATTTATATTAGGTTTCTTAGGTTCATTTGTTATCTTTTTATTTGGTTGGGCGCCTTGTTTTACTTCACTTTGTGAATGTAAGGACAATGGCGCCTCAACTATATTGAGTTCTTCTTTAATATGTTTGCTAATTTCGTTAGGTGAGTAAGTTCGATTATTTTTGTAACGTTGGGCGCCTTGTTTTACTTCACTTCCTTTTCTTTCGTCCGTGGGTTTTCGAAACTTTCTACTAGCCTTAGGGGAAAGGAAAGGTCGTCGGTGAAACGTGGATACTCGAAACTTGCTGCTAGGTTTATCCTCAGAGTATACTTCGGATAGGTTTGGCAGTAGCCTCCGAGCATTGCCGTAACCGTTTTTGGGTTGCTTCAATCGGTAGTGTTGGTGTATGAGAACTCTTTGATTATGTATAGGTTCACTATTAATGAGAATAGTATGGTTCTTTTGATCTTTTAATATTCCTATCTGTGATTGATGTTTGTTACTAAGGAGGATGTATTTGGATTCTGTGTTTAGAACATCTATCTTTAGATTACATGTTAAATATTCATTGATTTTGATGTCGACTACTATTTTGCCTATTATTTTGACTTCACTTCCTACTGCTTCTGCTATTGCCGGTTTTGATATGATTTTTTCTAGTCCTAATTTCTTTGCATGGTTTATTCCCATTGACGTGTTAGTTGATCCTTCATCAAGTTTGAATTCCATTATTATGCCATTTACGAGTACTATAAAGTAAAATCCTTTTGCTCCTTTTTGTTTGAGCTTATTAAT